TTGCTATTCATAAGGTTTTCCCTGGCCAATTCTTTGAGAAGTGGATGGCCTCTTCCTTCTTCCTAGTCTGTCTCAGTCTGTAAGTTGGGCTGATACCTGTGCACCATGAGCATCCTACTGGGTTTGAAATTCCAGTGGCTCAGCCTCAAAACTCACATCAACACGTCACCACGGTAGGACAAACTGGAAGACAAATCTGTCTCCCTGTTGGAAACCTCTCGTACCACCCTTACATGGGTCCCTGCAGCTGACTCCTCCTCTGTCCTGATTCCTGGGCCTTTTCATCCCCTTTCTCCTGTTCTCCGGCCCTGCTGCTTTGGGCATGCCTGAGTTCCCTCTCCTCACCTGGATCCCTGCGGCTGACTGCTCCTCTGTCTGAGTTCCTGGCTTTTTAAGCCCCTCTCTCCTGCCCTGCTGCTTTGGGCATGCCTGAGTTCCCTCTCCTCACCTGGATCCCTGCAGCCCATTAGCCATTAGAGAGATGCAAGTCAAAACAACAATGAGATACCATCTCACCCCAGCACTAATAACGAAGTTCAACAAGACAGAAAATAACAAATGCTGGCAAGGACGTGAAGAGATTGGGACTTTCATACACAGCTGGCAGGAATGTAAAATGATACAATCACTGTGGAAATAGGTATAGCAATTCCTTAAAAATCTGGGAATAGAAATACCATTTGATCCAGCAATCTCATTTCTAGGTATATGTTCTAAAGAAGTGAGAGCCAGGACACGAATAGATATATGCACCCCCATGTTCACTGCAGCACTATTCACAATAGCAAACAGACAGAAACAATCTAAATGCCTATCAATGGAGGAATGGCTATCCAAACTATGGTACATGCACACAATGGAATACTATGCAACACTGAAAAATAATGTAGAATCTGTGAAACACTGCATAATGTGGATGACCTTGGAGGACATTATGCTGAGTGAAATAAATCAATCACAGAAGGACAAATATTGTATTAGTCCACTATTGTCAAAAGTTAAGGAAAAGTTTATATCTGGAAGGAAATTTTGTTGGCTACCAGGGATGGGAGGGGAGGAAAAATTGCTAGATAGATAATAGACAAATATTGATCTGAGCGAAGGGTAAGGCAATATACCAAATGTGAGTGACCACCACAATAACACTAAGGAAAAGGAAGACACAGAGAGGTGCACAAGTGGTACAGAAAAAGAAAGATAAACACTTTTACATATACAATACTGCATCAGTAATAATTAACATTAATCTACAGGCAGGTACATAGGTAGATGGGCTGAATGACCAGGTAGGTCTAGGCAAAATCATTAAAAAAAAGACCAGGCTTATTGGTCATGACCATATATAAGGATGGCAGATGATATTTCTACATACAGAGCTCTGGTGGTGTAGTACCTAAAGCATTTGACTGTTAACCAGAAGGCTGGCAGTTCAAATGCAGCAGCCCCTGCCCAGAAAGAAGACAGGACAATCTATTTCCCTAGAGATATTGCCTTGGAAACCTAGGGAGGTCACTATGAGTTGGACCTGACTCAATGGCAGTGAGTTTGGTTTTTGGTTTTTTGGTATTTGTATGTGCTGTAAAAATGTCCATAGAAATAGAAGAGTGGGCAAAGTTATTATAATTTCTTAGTCACAGACAACCACCTCAGTGAGCAAGTTGTTGGGACTTGGGGGCTCAGGACCATGGTCGCAGGGGACATCGAGCTCAATTGGCATAACATATGGTATAGTGGATAAGGTATTTGGCTGCTAAATGGAAGGTCAGCAGTCCAACCCACCAGCTGCTCTGTGGAAGGAAGATGGAGCAATCTACTTCTATAAAGATTTATAACCTTGGAAACCCAATGGGGTTCACTATGAGTTGGAATCAACTCAATGGCAGTGAGTTTGTTTTTTTTTGGTGGATACACTAAAACATTGTTCTACATCCTATTTTGGTTAGTGACTGTGGTTTTAAAAGCTTGTAAGCAGCCATCCAGATGTAACAACTGGTCTCTCCTAGTCCAGAGCAAAGAAGAATGAAGAAAACTGAAGACATATGGAAACAATTAGTCCAAGGGACTAGCAGACCATGTGAACCTCAGCCTATATGACCCTGAGACCAAAACTACATGGTGCCCAGCTGCTACTGTCAAGCACTCAGAAAGGGAACATAATAGGAGATCCTTAATAGAGTAGGTGAACAATTTGGAACAAAACTCAAAATCATAAAAGAAGACCAGGCTTATTGGTCTGATGTTGTTGTTGTTATTATTTGCTGTCGAGTCGCCCCCGACTCACAGCAACCCCTCCTTGGGTTTCCGAGGCAGTATCACTACGGAAGTAGGATTGCCCAACCTTCCTTCCAAGGAGTGGCTGGTGGGTTTGAACCACCAGCCTTCTGGTTAGCAGTCAAGTGCCTTAGGCACTATGCTACCAGAGCTCTTTATTGGTCTGATAGAGACTGGTAAAACCCCTGAGATTATTGGTGTAGTCACCCTTCAGGCCTGGAACTGAAATTACTTCTGTGGCTTCCAGCCAAACAATAGGTATATAAGGTAAACATTTATATCCAGTAGGTCCACTCCTTAGAACAATCACTCATGGGAGGTCAGAAGGGCAGTATTTGCACAGGGAGATAGCTCAGAGGGCAGGAATGTATAAGAAAGAAGGACACAGGGTAAAGGTAACCACAGGAAGAAAGTGGGAAGAGAACTATTAAATTATGGGAATTGTAATCAATGAAACAAAGTATGAACGAACTGCTATATGGAAAACGAATTTGCTCCATAAACCTTCATTCAAATCACAATTAAAAACAAACAAACAAACAAACAAAAAAACCAGTAAGTCATGTATTAAAACCAGTGCAGAAGAGAAGACTTGACTGATGAAGGAGTTATGACCATTAGCTGCCATTAAGTTAGTCCAGGCTCATGGTGACCTGAAGGCAATAGGAGGAAATGCTGCCCAGGCCTGCGCCATCCCCATGATCAGTGGTAGGTTGGACTGTTGTGATCTACAGGATTTTCACTGGCTGATTTTTGGAAATAGATCATCAGACTTTTCTTCTTAGTCTGTCCTAGGCTGGAGGCTCCACTGAAAACTGTTCAGCATCATAGCAACATGCAAGCCTCCACTGACAGATGGATGGTGCTTTTGTATGAGGTGCATTGGCTGTGAATTGAACCCAGGTCTCTTGAATAGAAGGCAAGAATTTTACCTCTGAACCACTGATTCTTCTCCTCGACTAAAAGGGGTTGGGTGGGGTGGGGGAGCAGAATGAGAAAATATTAACATTTTATATTTGCTATAGCCGAAGGCTTTGCAGCTATGGGAGAGGAAGAGGGAGTAGCAGGAGCAAAATTCATAAAGCGTTTATATATTAAGAGAAATAGGGAAAGAATAATTAAAAAAAGAATTTCTCTTGCTCAGCAGGTGGACATTTATAAATAAGTATCTAGCCTTAATGGTGAAATGGTATTATGGAAAAGACCGAGTAAGCTTTATCCACATATATTCATCTCATTATTATTCAAAATAGCAACTACAATTTTTAAAAAAGGAAACAATACAGATGTCCAGTAGTTGGAGAAAGCCAGCCATTAGAACTTATTTTGTTGTTGTTGTTATGTGCCGTTGAGTTGGCCCCGATTCATAGCGACCCCTCCTTGGGTTGCCAAGGCAGTATCACTACGGAAATAGATTGCCCAAAACCTTCCTTCCAAGGAGTGGCTGGTGGGTTTGAACCGCCAGCCTTCTGGTTATCAGTCAAGTGCCTTAGGCACTATGCTACCAGAGCTCCTAGAACTTATTTTATGGCTGATATTATGCAGCCATCAAAACTTCTTTGTAAAGAGTTCATAATAACATGGTTAAAATGCTTATATTATAAAGTCATAAAAGGCATGTTGAAATGTATCTACAAAATATCATAACTACGTAAAAATTAATAAATTTAAGCATAGAACAAAGACTGGAAAGAAATACCCTAAATGCTAACAGTGATATTTTACACATAATATAAAAGAACAATGGATGATTTTTTTCCTTTCTTTTTCTCTTCTAAATTTTTTATTAGTATTATTTCTGTAGTGTATATGGGAGAAAATCATCATTTTTTAAAAAAGGAGTTTGTAAAACCAGTGATAGAAAACAGTAAGAATTATGAATATTAAATTCATAAAGCATTGCTATAAAGTCATTAGAAGACCCTATAGGACAGAGTAGAACTGCCCTATAGGGTTTCCAAGGCTATAAATCTTTATGGAAGGAGACTGCCTCATCTTTCTCCTACATAACAGCTGCTGGGTTCAAACAGCCAATGTTTTGGTTAGCAGACCAATGCTTCATAACCATCAGAGCCCGCTAAGAGAACTGTGTCTAGGTACACTGACCACAAATCCTGAAAATGTTTGTTGAAATCTAGTCCCTGGACAAATTAGTTGACATCAATTGCTTGTTGTTGGATGCCATTGAGTTGATTCGGGTTTGTGGTGACACCATGCGAACTGCTCCATAGAATTTTTTTTGGCTGTAATCTTTATGGAAGCACATCATCAGGCCTTTTCTTCTACAGTACAATGGATGGGTTTGAACTACTTTTAAGTTAGCAGTCCTGCATAAACTGAGTCACCTAGGGACTTTTCTATCAACTCCAGTGCTTACTATAAATGCAGATTCTGTGCTTTGCCTCACACCAAAGCATCAACCCAGAATTCTTCTAGATTTTTTGGGACAGTCAGATAGTAAAACTACTGAAGTATACTAGAAATTATATTCCAGGTTTCAAATTTTCCAATTTAGAATGTCTGGAAGATGCAAAAACTTTGTCAGAGTACATGTATTCATTTTTGTTGGTAAAAATATCACTGCTATAATAATATGCAACACCACTTAGAATGTCTTAGGAGAAAATGGACTAATAAATGACAGTATGAAAATAACAGCCATATATATATAATTCAATAAAAGAACAATCCACTTACGTTCTGAGAATGGACCAATGAGGTAGCTTAAGAATCTTTCTTACATAATCATAGACTTTGCTACTGCATAAGTAGAGTGTACATGCAAATTGTTTCATTTCTGTGGAATACTCAGCTGTTTCTCTCCAGTTATACAACTCCCACTTAAAATCTGTTGAAATAAATTTATTTATTGTTTGTGATAAAAAATACGTAATATTTTCATGTATAGTTTGTCACATTTGGATATAAAATTTGGATATAACATACACTGGGCATTAATATTCAAATGTAAATATAATTCTACTTAACTGAGTTTGTTTCAGATATTAATATCAAATCTTAGAACCTCTTGACCATATTACCTTTTTCACCTTGGATCTTTTCACTTAAGATAGGGAAGAGAAAAGGTTCAACTTGAATCCCTGTTTTACTATTATTGGCAGACTGAGTAGAAATTTTTTGAGGACCAAGAGGGAATAAAATTAAATAAATCGATAAAGTAGGAATAATGGGGATATGCATTTGTTTAATTATTTTCCCTGGTTACCATTTATCTGAGGATGAAAATTACATATAAGTAGTATTTCTGTGGTGAGGGTTCTGTTCAGACTACACAATCTCACCTGTTATGTTGTTATGTGTTGTCGAGTCAGCCCTGACTCATAGTGACACCTCCTTGGGTTGCCAAGGCAGTATCACTACAGAAGTAGATTGCTCAACCTTCCTTCCAAGGAGTGGCTGGTGGGTTTGAATCACCAACCTTCTGGTTAGCAGTCAAGTGCCTTAGAAACTATGCTACCAGAGCTCCTCAATCTCACCTAGTGAGACCCTATTTACTACCTCTATTACCCTCTTTGAAATATATTTTCTTTTGGAGACATCTACTTCTGTTTAGTAACATGACATAACTTTTCTAAAATATACATACAAAATCTCTACTGCTTTCATGAAAAAGTAAGCTGACAATTCTTATTTTGCTTCTCTTCAAATATTTTGGTTCACAAAGAAGACAAAGTAGTACTCTTTTGATAGATTTTTATATTTACTCTATAGAATATTTTTTTAAAAATTCAAAGGTTCATACAACCTCCAAGTTCAGAGAGATTTAGCAAACTATCTAGAAAACTCCATTACAAAAACACTTTGGTAGTAAATTACATAGCAGTCGTAACTGTTTGTAAAGAATTTATAGTAGCATGGGTGCTATTATAAAAACTGAAAATATTATATAAACTATATGACCTCATCTCTGGGTAGTGGGATTATGGATTATTTTTTATCATTTATCTATTTCTTTGCTTTCCTATAATAAACATACTAATTTTATCATTGGAAAATGATAAAATATAAAAGGATCTGGGTCATTACTTTTCATTTTTCTTGCTTATGCTACTGATACTTCAAACTTTCCAGCTAAAGGCATACTTTCATAGGTAATAACAAAGTAAATATTTAGTAATATTACAGAAAAATAAAGAGCTACTTTGTAAATGTTACAAATTATTGGGGGAATACCTGAAAATTGTGCCCGTAGCAGACATTCTGTTTCTTCAGAAAGTAGCTTCTCTTCTACAAGTGTGTCAATTAATTTTAAGCTCTTTGTTTTCTTTATTATACTGTTGTCTGTTACTGAAATAAGTCTTTTATTAGATACTTGTAACATTTGTTGCACTTCAGCTAGGTTCTCTGCACCATCTGTCAAGGGTCTCCTTAAACTATAGTTATGGTCCTCGGTAGTAACCTCTTCAGAATTATCTGGAAGTGTCTGCCTTAGAATTTTCTGTCTTGCTTTACCTTTAAGGTGTGCAGCTTGAGGAACCTATGCCAGAAATATAGAATTAAGCTTATTTTATAAAACATTACACAATTGATTAGCTATAAACATGCCACTGAATGCAATGTACTTACCAGGTTATTGCAGAAAGTTAGTTATGAAAGAAAATATTATAATCCCTGAATTTTTAAAAATGTATAATCTACAAGGCAATTGCAAATAAACAGTTTTTACTGCTTCTACACAGAAATATTAGCATGATGCTGAAAGTTTCTGAAATGATTAAAGTAACTAGGAAACCCTCTAAAAAACAAGCTAAGCCTATTGTCATTGAGTTGATTCCAACGCATAGTGACCTTCAAGGTCAGAGTAGAAGGAGCTCTGGTGGTACGGTGCCTAATGCATTTGATTGCTAACCAGAAGGTCAGCAGTTCAAACCAACCAGCTACTCTGCAGAAGGAAGACTTCCATAAAGATTTACTGCCTCAGAAACCCAAAGGGGGTCACTATGAGTCAGAATCGACTCAATGGCAATGAGTTTGGTTTGGTTTGGTATATTCTGCTCAATATAAGAATGACATAAAACAATACTAGGGAAGGAAACCCCAGTGGATAAGAGGAAGGTAAGGCTAGTGTCTGGTAGCATAGTGCCTAAGGCACCTGACTGCTAACCAGAAGGCAGGTGGTTCAAACCCATCAGCCACTCCTTGGAAGGAAGGGTGGGCAATTTACTTTCGTAGTGATACTGCCTTGTAAAGCCAAGGAGTCACTGTGAGTTGGGTCCTATTCAATGGCACATAACAACAACAAACAAAGGCTAGTGTCAGTATAGAACAGTTTGATGTTTATTGTAGATTATGCAGAAGGTGATTAAGCCATGAACCAGAGTTGTGGCAAAGGAGTGAAAGGATAAAATAAAAACAATAAAAAGAAACACAAGAAGGTAACACTGGTGACTGTCTTATATGAAATCCGTATTTTCTGTATACTTCTTTGCATCTCAATGCTAATAATTAGTTACATTTTTTGATCACGATCAATAACATTTTTGGGAAGAGCTGAAAAAAATAAAGGCAGATAATTTCAAAGTATTATGAATGTTTTCTTGGACTTAACAAAAGACTGAATTCTAAAAAGCCGAAAAAAACCAAAACAAAAACCCTATAGCCATTGAGTTGATTCTGACTCAAAGCAACCCTGTAAGGCAGTGTAGAACTGCCCCCTAGGGTTTCCAAGGCTGTAAATCTTTATGGAAGTAGACCGCCTCATCTTTCTCTTGCAGAATGGCTGGTGGGTTCAAATTGCTGACTTTCTAGTTAACAGGATACCTTAACCACCAGAATTATGTATACCCATTAGTTGATTTTTGTGATTAGTCAGTAACCTTTATGTATGTATACCTAGACAAACAATTAGGAGCTCTGGTGGTATAGTGCCTAAGGCAGTTGACTGCGAACCAGAAGGCTGGCGGTTCAAATCCTTGGAAGGAAGACTAGGTAATCTATTTCTGTAGTGATACCACCTCGGAAACCCAAGGAAGGGTCGCTATGAGCCAGAACCGACTTGATGGCAGTTTTTTTTGAGACAAACAATTTGCATTTATAAATCCTACTGTTTTTCCAAAGGCTCCAAAGCAGGATGTTAATATTACATACAAATTTAAATAATTTCTAAACATTTTAAATCTATTACTGAATTTAAGACATAGTTTTTTTTCACTTTGCAAATTCTAGCTATAATATGTGTAATTTTTAGAGGTTCTGTGAACTTTAGCTTTGTTTTACCTAATTATACCTTGTCTAGAGAAACAGAAGGTACAGCTCCTTTCTTCAATTTTCTTCTTATGCCATATGACTCAAAGTCACTTTCTTGAAAATGTTTGGAACACAGTATAGCACTTGGTCCTGGAATCCAAATCTTTTTACTTCTGGGGTCCACACGATTAACAGCCCTGATCCACTTTGAGCGCTGTATGGTATCCGTTGGAAAACTGTAACAATCATATTAAAGTTCCAATAATATGAAAATATTATAGTAGCATTTGTTATATAAATCTACTTATTATTTAAATACTTTATACAAACAGAAAATCTAGCCAACTGAACTTATTTATCTGATTTCATTTTTATAAGTTCTTTTATATTTGAACCCAAAGAGTCACGAAGTGATTGATATGTTTCAATGTGTATGGGGGTATTCTCATATTCAACGTCTTACCACATTCTGTCTTCACTGCTTACATTTAACACAAGAATTTGCTCAAATTTCATGGGTTAAAAAATATGTGTGGTCTTTTCCTTTCCTGTAGTGATTTAAAAATATATCCACAAATTCTTTGATAACCCTCCGTTCAAGAGCTGGAGCCTAATTATACATTCCTTGAATGTGGCTGGACTCTAACCATGCAAAGGATCATTAAATACCTGCAGGTCCACCATGTATAACTTGTACAACCAGCCTCTCAATTGGTATGTATACCTGGTTAGTACAAGTATTGCTCTCCTTAGGCTATTGGGTGGCCTACGTCACCTGAAGCCCGTGAAGTAGTTACTTCTAGCAGGCCCCAAATAGCTTTATCAGCTTGCCCCAAAGTACCAAAAGAATACTTTGTGTGTAAAATGACTTCAAAAAGGTTGAGGAAATACTACACTCTATAATTTGAGTTCTGGATAAAATTAAACTCTTAGTAATAATTGATACTACTTTTAAAGCATTTACTGGCACTTGACTGCTAACCAGAAGGCTGGCGGTTCAAACCCACCAGCCATTAATTGGAAGGAAGACTGGGTAATCTACTTTCATAGAGATACCGCCTTGGAAACCCAAGGAGGGGTCACTATGAGTGGCAATCGACTCGACGACGGTGAGTTTGGTTTTTTTGTTTTATATACATGCTTTAAAGACTTGGTATTATTCTTTTTTTTTTTAAAAAAAAAAAAAAAAAAAAACTCTGCAAGGCAGGTTTTTATCCTCATAAACAAGAAGAAGCCAAGAACAGAGACCAGTAAACAGCCAACCACTAAACAAAATTGGAAACATGTCTCCCTACTATAAAGCCATCTCTGGCAGAAGAAAAGTCCCAAACCAATCATCTCACATACACAATAATTAATTGGATTACACAATACTAGAATATACTTTATTTTTCCTGCCGATTATGCCTTTTTATACTACCAGCAGGAATTTACTTCTAGCTGGTAATTCTAAAAAATGGCTAACAAAACCTCTTCTATAGGGGATACCTCTGAAAAGGGAAGGATGGGATTGAGAGGTGAGGTTTTAACTATACCTGTAATTTAGTTCTGTTCTAAAGAAGAAGAAAAAAATTTAAAACAAATACGGCAAATTGTTAACATTTGTTTACTCCTAGTGGTGGATTTGTTATATATTATTTTTGCCTGTTGTATGTTTGAAACTTTTCATAACTGAATGTTTAAAAATAAAACCCACAACAACAATCCTCAAATTGCCCACATATATTTCTTTGGTTATGAAATAAATTAATTTTCTAAAATCTCTTTACTGATACCAACGCAAAGAGAATGAATTAAAAGGTCAGTTTAATTTTTAGACAATTATGGTTTTGACAGGGTATCAATGTTCTCTTAATAGTAGTTTCTATACCTTTAGGTCATTTTTGATTCATTCTTTTCACCAGATTCCCTTGCCTATGTCCTTAACTCTTCTCTCCATTTTGGTGATGATATTGCAGAGCTTAAGGGAAAGCTTCGGGAGCTCTGGTAGCATAGTGGCTAAGGCACTTGACTGCTAACCAGAAAGCTAGCGATTCAAATCCACCAGCCACTCTTCAGAAGGAAGATGGGGCAATCTACTTCTGTAGTGATACTGCCTCGGAAACCGAAGGAGGGGTTGCTATGAGTCGGGTATGACTCGACGGCACATAACAACGACAAAAGGGAAAGCTTCAGAGATAATAACAGAGCTAGAGCTGAACGGTCAATATATTTGCCATGCATTCAAAGCAGATGCAAAAACAGAGGTATGAAACAATAAACTTGAGTATTACTGTCTTATAAAGCATTGAAAAAGAGGCTAATTTGATGCTTAAGAGCCATGGGGTCAACCAGCAATACTAGCATTGTTCAACAAGACAGAAAATAACAAATGCTGGCAAAGGTGTGGAGAGAATGGAACGCTCATCCACCGCTGATGAACTGTAAAATGGTATAACTACTGTGGAAAATGGTATGGAGGTTCCTTAAAGAGTTGGAAATAGAAATACCATTTGATCCAGCAATCCCACTAGTAGGAATACATCCTAAAGAGGTGAGATGTGGAACACGGATAGATACCTGTACACCCAGTTCACTAGTTCAATGCAGCATTTAGCAAAGAGATGGAAACAACCTGAGTGCCCATCAACAGATGAATGGATAACCAAACTATGGTACATACACACAATGGAACAGTATGTAACACTAAAGAATAATGAAGAATCTGCTAATCCTCTTATAACATAGATGAACTTGAAGGACACATTATACTGAGTGAAATAAGGCAATTTACAGAAGGGCAAATATTGCATGAGTTCATTATTATAAAATGTTGAAGGTTTACACAAGCAAGGAAAGTATCTTTCTTGTTTACTAGGGATGGGAGGGGAAGGAAGGGAAAACTGCTCACTAGTTAAGAGACAGATGTTGATTTGGGTGAAGAGAAAGGCAATATAATAAAAGCACACAGCCAACACAGTATCACTAAGGAAAAGGAAGACAAGGAGAGGTACAAAAGAGGTACAGACAGCATTATGTATACACGATATGCATTATAGTAATAGCAAATACTAATCTATGGGTGGATGCATAGGTGGACAGGCAAGGTCAGGTATGGGTAGGTGAATGGAAACATACCCATGACCATTCATAGATTGGGTAGACAATATTTGCTATGTGTGTATTTGTATGCGATATAAAAATTCCCATATGCAATACAGAGTGAACAGGGGACAAATTTGGGGTTCTTAGCCACAACTAAGCACTTTGAGGGAGGGAGTCACTGGGCCTGCAAGCTTAGGACCATGATCACAGGGGACATTAAGTTTAATTGGCACTACATAGTATACAACATTGCTCCTTATCCTACTTTGATAAGTATCGATTGGGGTCTTAAAGTATGCAAGAGGCCATCTAAGATGCAATAATTGGTCTCTCCTTTCTGGAACAAATAAGAGTGAAGAAAATCAAAGATGTATGGAAAGAATTAGTCCAAGGGACTAGTGGAGCATGCAAACTTCAGCCTATAAAACCCTGAGACCAGAAGAACTAGATGGTGCCCTGTTACCACTGCCAATCACTTAGAAAGGGATCAATGTAAGAGAGCCTGGATAGAGTGGGAGAGAAATGTGGAAAACTGAAAATCATAAAAAAGACCAGGCTTACTTGTCTGATAGAGACTGTTGATAGCCCCAAGAGCACAGCCTCTAGTTACCTTCAGGCCTAGAATTAAACTCACTTCTGGCAGCTTCCAGCCAAACAACAAACAGATCTACAAGGTAAACAATTACACCAGGTAGGTACACTTCTCAGAATAACCAAACATGGGAGATCAAAAGGGCAGCATTCTCACAGGGAGATATTGCAGAAGGCAGGAAAGAAAGACACAAGGAAAAGGTAACCACAGGGAGGAAGTGGGAAGAAAGCTGTTACATTGTGGGGATTGCAATCAATGTCACGAAACAAAATGTATATGAATTGTTAGATGGAAAACCAAATTGCTGTGTAAACTTTTACCCAAATCACAATTTAAAAAAGCAGTGGAGTCAAGCATCATGACAGGCAAGAGTCTTTTAAAGAAAGAAGGCCACTGACACATTATTGAAAGTGGTTAAAGTACTCTTCAGGACAGGGATATTTAATTTAAAAATTTTAAACTATCTACTGTTACAAGATAAAACAGGGCCAGTAAAACTGTCAAACACATGATTGAGGCACCAAAGAGAGCGGAAGCCTAGGATGAGAAGCATACATAGCACTGAACTAAAAGGATGAGAAAGAAACAGAAAACACAGAAGATTGGGCTGGAGGGAAGGTAGACAAGTATTGCGGTTGGAAGAGGAAGACAGGTAGAAGAAAGTGGTTAGACACAGGCTGGAGAGTTAGCTAGAGGCCAGATCACAAAAGGTCTTGAATGCTAATATGCTTTGGATCCATCCTTTAGGTCAGTGGCCACCAAAGCATCTACTGAGACTGGGAAAATAACAATTTATTTTTGCCCCATCCTTTAATATTTTACAATACATATTAGCATAGTAACGGCTTCACTATATACATGTAACAAGAACATTTACCCAAATTTTTTTTTATGAAGAGAGGCCTATGAACTCAATAGCAAGTCAACTAAATTCTGTCCTTCCCATATTACCTTTTTGCTGAGCTCTTTGTTCAGATCCATACCAAAAACCCAAACCCATTGCCATCATCAATTGTGGCTCATAGCAATGCTAGAGGACTGTGCAGAAGTGCCTCATATAATTTTCAAGGACATAAATCTTTACAGAAGCACTCTGCCTCATTTTCCTCCTGTGGAGTGGCTAGTGGGTTTGATCGGCTGAACTTCTGGTTAGCAACCAAATGCTTTAACCACTGCACCACTAGAGTTCCTTGTTCAGATCCACATGCCCATTAAATTTAGCAAGATTACTTAGGACCCTTTGTCCTTGCTGTTTTATTGGAGCTGTGGTGTCAGTAGGTTGAAGAGTCAATGTGAGGCAAGGAAGCAACTGTACATTTCTGGTTTTGGGACTGCAATTATAAAGGGAGAGTGGTTGGGTAGTGTAGAGGTACACACACTTAGGGGACTAGAGTGAGCATACCTACTGGAGTAGAAAGAGCAGTTTAAATAAAAAAGAGAAAGGAAATTAATTGATGGGAAAAAAGCCCCGAAGGAGATAGGAAAGTATACAGTCTTAACAGCTCAGGTGGAAGAACCAGCTCTATCAAAAAAAAAAAGCAACTAGTGTAGAAACTCCTTAACCTTTTTTTTAAAATAAGTTGTCCCCATGCACCTTTCCACTCTTCTACATTCTGTACTTTCCATTTCTCCTTGCTATTCCTCTAAAGTGCTATCTTCCTCCCCTAAATCTAGCCAAGACACTTAGGTCCAACTCAGACCCTTCTGTCTGAAAAAACTTTTCGATATTCTCGTAAAAATGATTTCTTTAACTCTCTACATATTACCTTCGAATAGGCTACTTCTATTTGAAGTACATTTCTTGTCTGTGAGGATCTGTTTATCCACTTTTTTACTTTCCATTTGCCTTTACTATATACCAGTCTGGACCACAGATGTGAATTTAAACTACATTAGTCTGAAATACAGTCAAATTTCCTTGCTATCATCAGATTCGGCTACAACGTGACCGATCTTACAGAGCCTGATTAATGTTACCGAACAATTTGCAACACCAGAAATGCTGGTAAAAACTCTGCTCAGTATCAGGCTCAAGACGCCATATTATGACCGGAGCGCTCGCCTCCAAGTTTCCCCAAACTCCTTTCCTTCCACTCTCTTCATTTTAAATAAGAACAAGAAAGGCGGGAGTCCTTTCACTTTTTAAGAGCGATTTTTAAAAAAAGAGCCATTAGGCAAGCTGTGAGGCAAACCGCAAGGAATAAGAAAGAACTAACGAAATACAGAGAGACAAAGAAGACGGGATGAGTACTTAACCCTCAAAGTTTCCCTCCCCCGCCTTACGTTACACACGTCGCGTCACGTCACGTCGATAACGTGATGCACTCCCCGGCCCCGCCCCACCATGGCCTACTCCCCAGCTAGGCGCTACTGGGAGTTAAAACTGCTCGGAGGCTACTCTCACACGCACTGGTGGAAGGAGAGGCCGAGCTCTCTGCTGAGGACGGTGTCACGGGTGCTGCAGCCCACTGCAGAGCAACTTCGAGTCATCTTGCTACGAGGGATCCACTTTCAGGGTTGCCTCGGCAGCCTGAATCACGGTGAATTTAGCTATGCCTGTTGACTCCGCGGTTACGACCTTTATTTGTACAGAAAGGCGGGCTTTTGAGGCGTGGGACGCCCACCCTTCCTCTCCGAGGGCCTGTGTTTGACGCCGCAGCCAATCATTGGCTAATTCATGTTTCGGCAGCCAATCGGGAAGTCCAGGGGTACTTAGGTGCTCCTCCCTGTTTGTTCGTGGAGGGGTAGTGGGTCTTGTTGCAAGGTGCTTACGTTCTGGATTCACCCACCATGGCTCAATCCTTCTCCATCGATCCTTTTGTGAAGCTGAAACTGAGAATGCGAAGCAGAAAATTTGAATGTAAATGGAAGCGAATCCAGAGCCCTGCTGATGAGTTTCCAGGTGCGAGCTCTAAATCGGACAGGAAATTTTGAGAAGAATGGGCGTGAGGGAGAGGGATAAACGCGGTGCCCTAGAAATGGTTGAAGACAAAGTCGGGCCAGAAAACACAGTAAACGATTTACTAAGATGCACGTCTTCTCCTTGCATTCTTCCATTTTATTTTGTAGCTTCATGATACGGAGATAACGTAGGAGCTATTGGCATGATTGGCCGTTAAGTATGTGACTCTAGAGGAGTTGGAGATTCTAATATGAGGATACATCGACTTTTAATTCCACGAACCCTTTTCTGTAAGACATCTTGTCGCACTGGGGGAATTCAGAAGTAACTGAGGTAAGGTGCTTGCTCCTTCCGTGAAACTGACGGTCTCGTGGGGACTCGGTGGTGGTAATGGCAGAGAGACACGGCGAAGTTAAGGGGTTTTGGTTGGGGAATGGAGCATCATGGATAGTCGTTCGTTTAAGGCGTGAGATAAAAATTTTCATAGAAAAACGGAGCTAATGAAGGGCATAGTTTCTATTGTATCGTTGAGAAGATCCTTAGCATATTAAGTGATTTCTTTTGCCCTTGCGTAAGCTTGGAGGCCCCTTAGACAGTGGAGAATTGTTTACGTTTCTCTGACTCAAAAAAGATGCCAACATTTTCAAGCCTTAACAAGATGTTGCTTTTCCCCCAGCTGTATTTTGTTTATTTCTCCCAGATTCCAGCCAGAACTATTCATATTAAGACTTACTCACGAGTGTTTTATCTGGGTGAAATTAAATAAAAACTTTCACTTGTGGAGTTTGGTAACTAAACCATGTGGACTAAGGATAGTCTATGAACTTTGGAAAAATTTGTCCTTGTGGGGTTGTACGTGGGAAATTGTTATTTGGCTATAAGATGTTCAGAGGGTAAGACCTGGATTTAAATCACTGTCAGTTGGGTGGGCAATTAGAGCCTTTACTAGTATTCAGTCAATTTTAGAACGTTTTCATCACCCCCAAAAGAAACTTCGTACCCATTATCAGTCACTTCTGCCCAGTAGTTCCCCCTTACCTCCTGGGCAACCATTAATCTACTTTGTCACTATAGATTTGCCTATTCTGGATGTTTCATATAAGTAAAATCAGGCAATAATATATGGTGTTTTGTGACAGTTTTTTTCATTTAGCGTAATATATTGAAGGTTCATCGATAGTGTAGCATTCATCAGTTCATTTTTGTTGAATATATTTCATCGTAATGATACACCACATTTTTTTTATCAGTTTTTCAGCTGATGGACATTTATTTATGGACTGTTACGAAAAATGATGAATATTTGTGTACAAGTTTTTGTGTAGACATATATTTTCATGTCTCTTTGATGAATACCTCGGAGTGGAATTGCTGGGTCATTTCTGTCATAATGCCATGTTCCACCAAAAAACAACGGATTACTGCCTGGGGAATGCTGGCCCTGGGTGGTGCAAATGAACGCTCAGTTACTAACCAAAATGTGGGCTGTTAGAATTCACCCAGAGGACCTTTAGAAGGGCCTGCTGATCTACTTCCTTATGGAGTGCATTTCTAAGCTATCCACATGGGGTGGCCATGAGTCACAGTCACCTTGATGACAAGTGGTTTGGTTTGACCTGGAGAGTACCTCTATGCTACCCTGCCAGCCCCTCCCCATTGTGGAGACCCACCCACTGTCATAGAGTTGATTTGGACTCAGAGTGACTCTGTAGGGCTGGGTAGAACTGCCCCTTAGTGTTTCCAAGGATATAAATCTTTATAGAAGCAGACCACCTCATTTTTCTCCCATGGAGCAGCTGTTGGGCTCCAGTTGCCAACTTTATGGTTAGCAGCTGCACCTTAACCACGAGACCTAACGGTGTTGGTGCTAAAATGGGTTTAGAGGCAGTTTAACCTGCTGTGTGATCTTTTCTGAGCTTTGAAGGACGTCACAGGTACTGGTACTCATTTTTCATTTTCTGAAGGTAACGGAATAGAAAGTAACTCTTGCTGCCTGTTTAAGCATCTGAGATGAGGGCTCTTTTCTTTACTGGTAATTGGATTCCAGGTATTGTGGCTCCCCCTAGGTAAGGTGAAAGAATGTTGCTTTCACTTTATTCTAGCACTGTTTTTCTAATGATTGGAAATTAGTTCTTGAGAATGTATTATAGCAGAATATGCTTGTATGTTTGTAGATTGATTAAATGAAAACAACCAAGGCACTTCATGATTGCCCTAGATATATATTCTTTGCCTGTTTCTATATACATAGTGTAATTCTAACCATTTTTTGGGTGGTATTTATGTGTCTCTTTTTTTTAAAAGTATTACATTTTTGTCATTTACATTGTTTTACTAGTGGTATTGAATTCTCAGTTTGGTCATTTAGCTATGTATCTTTGTCTCCTTCAGTAACTTCATATCCAGTGATTAAACCTTTTCACTGCTGTTCACATAATGAACTGTTGTGATTATTGAATGTTTAAATGAGGATATGTAAGCTACATTAAAGACAGTTTGCAAAAAACACTAACCACTGCAGAAAATAAATAAATATACCTCTTTTCAGGAATTATATTCTTGGAGATGCCGGAAAAATACCTGGATTGTAGAAGCATGCAGGAAAGGTAGCAGTATATTTTTGTTTAATGTGTATTAAGTATTCTGGCACAGTAACAGTGAGTTGAAAATGGAGGGCTGTCTACATAAAAAATGAATCTATAAATGTAATTTCCTATTTTCATGGTTTAAAATTACATTAAGTGGCCTCTTTGGGGAAAAAATAGTCCTTATTGAAAGATTACTACATTCTAGGCATTGTGCTAAGCATATTATGTTGTCTGTGTGTTTATAAGCTATTTTTTATTTCTTAACAATAACCCTGTGAAAGCAGGTAGACATTGTGCTTTCTAGGACTGGTATTTTCCTTGTTGAGCATCTACTATGTGTCAAATTCTCGACTAGTTCTACTAGAATCTTTAATTTGATGTCTTAATATAATGAAATATACTTCTAATAACTGGCCCATATTCTTTATGAATTTTTCACCCTTTTAATTCTGTTGTTTTTTGCTTCAGAAAGTATTGCAGTTTTGATATTTGTGACCAAATCTAAAGATGGTCCTGAATCTGATTATTTTCCCAAAATTTCAAAAGTTAGAGTTAATTCTTAAATGGTACATTTTACTTTTTGGGTATGGATTGTGATCAGTTATTTATTGCCATGTAACAAATTGCACCAAAATTTAACAGCTTAAAACGTCAAATATTTGCTATCTCAGAGTTTCTGTGGGTCAGGGTGCCAAGCTGGGTGGTCCTTGCCCAGGATCTCTTGCAAAGGTCATTTGAAGACATGACTTAGGGGATCAGCGTCCAGGCTTGCTCACTTGGCAGGCTTCAGTTCCTTGCTGGCTGTTGGCTAGAGACTTTAGTTCTTGGCCATTTGAACTTCACTGCCTGAATGTCCTCACAACGTGGCAGGTGGCTTCCCCCAGAGCAAATAATGTAAGAGAGACACGCCAAGATGGAAACATCAGTCTTAAAACTTTTTAGTCTGTTGAGTCAGGGGATTTAAAGTTGGACCATCAAGGAAATTAGAAGTATGAGAGCATGTACATCTGAATAAGTATTCTATTTTATAAGGCATGCAGTGTCTTTTCTAATACACAGTTTAAGTCATGCTACATAAAACACTTGAATTCCTTTTGGAAAGTGTGTAGGGAGTTTATAAGAAAGGTTATTTTACAGTCATAGAATATACTTTCTTGATGATATAAACGTCCATTGGACCCATTTCCCCTTCCCCAATTCCTCCCACGTGGAGGTGGTTAGAAAAGCAGATTAGAACTAGACTCTGGCTGGAAACTCTGTTCCTACCCCCTAGTGCTTTATGACAGTCCTGGTGGCCTAGTGCCTAGCCAAGGCATTTAACTACTAACCAGAAGGCTGGTGGTAGCCACTCCTGTGGAGGAAGGTTGGGCAATCTACTTCCTTAGTGATACCACCTTGGAAACTGAAGGAGTTGTTATGAGTGGGATCTGACTCCACGACAGTGAGTTTTTTTTTTTTTTTTTAATGCCCCCCCACCTGTTCTAAAATCACGTAGCCCCTTTTCCTGTCATTGCTTTAGACTACAGAGATGATGTTGTTATGTGCCATCAAGTCAGATCTGACTCACAGTGAGCTCTTCTTGGATCTCCAAGACAATACCACTATGGAAGTAGATTGCCTAGCTTTCCTTCCAAGGAGTGGCTGGTGGGTTTGAACTGCCACCTTCTGGTTAGCAGTCAAGTGCCTTAGGCACTACGCTATCAGAACTCCTACAGAGATATATGCTCCAGATTATATCTCTGTTGCTACCACTACTGCTGCTCCTTCCTTGGGTTCTTGCTGCTTTCGCTGCTGCTTCTCCCACTTTCTCCCCCATGGGCTTCCAGCCTTCTTTATGAGCAAATACAGACTTTGCCCTACAATCAAAAACATTCCTAATTGAGAGAACAATCATGGGAGAAAGAAGGGCTGCTTATGCACAGGGGAGACAGCTCATGGGGCAGGAGTACATGGAGGGATGGACACAGGGAAGAGGTAACTATCGAGAAGTGGGAGGGGAC